ATCCTCACATGCACGCGCACGCATGCGCACACACACACACATTTCTAACAAACTGCTCTGCCTCTTAGTGAGGCCGCATAGCACATGGCGCTCCACAGCTTAGTCGTCTCAGAGATCACCATTTCTTCAGGAATCTTTCACCCACTTCTGACCCAAATCTGCCAGCCTAAGAGGTGAAGCCTGTCCACCAAGGATTCCCCTGTTGCAACTATACTGCCTCGTACCTCAGGAGCTGGATGACTAGGGTTCCAAGCCCAACAGGGTACCAGAGAGACATGTGATTGGTAGCCCTATCTGCAGGGTGCTCCCTGGGGACCCTGTGTCTGTGTTCTATCCTGGGGATAGGTAAGGTCACAGTGCAGAGGGATCCTGTAGGTGCACACTTGAGGATATGTATGTTTGTATGTCTATGCATGAGTTGGAGTGCATACGCATGGCTGTGTGGTAGCCAGGGAACAACCTCAGACATCCGCGCGCGCGCGCGCGTGTGTGTGTGTGTGTGTGTGTGTGTGTGTGTGTGAGTGTGTTTGAGACAGGGTCTCTCACTGGACTGGAGTCATTAAGTAGGCTAGACGGGCTGGTCAGTGAACCCTAGGGATCCCACTTTTTTTCTGTTTGAACCCCAGCACTGGGGGTACAAGCCACCATGCCACATGACAGTGGGTCCTGGGGATTAAACCCATGTCCTCGAGCTTTTGCAGAAAAGACTACCGACCATGTCATTCCCCCAAGCTCAGTGAAAGATGGTCCTAGGTTATCACCATGAACTCAGACGAGCCAGGGTGGCCCTGGCATAAGGTAGCAGGAGGCTGGCATCAGAGTGGATATGACAACAGAAGTGAGGTCCGGGAAGAGACGTCACAGGCTTGATGCTGAAAGAATATCCAAGCCAGGGAATGTGGCCACCTCCGGATGGGGAAGAGGCAGGAATGGACTCTCCTGGGGCTCAGGAGCCTGCCTTGCTGGTCTCAGAACTGCGCGTTTGAGGACTCACTGTCGCGGCCAGAGGGGTACTCCAGCCTGGCCCTACTTTCCCAGCCTTTGGTCCTCTTCCAACTCACTCAGCTGGTTCAGCACTGCACCTTCTGATCAGGCTAGAAATGGACACTAAGATAAGGATTGCTACGGAAGAGGTTTATGTGAAAGACGACCCCAGGGTGCACAGAGAGAAGTAAGCAGATGAGTCTGCAGTATGTGATGAGCAGTTTCCCAAGGGCAGCTCGATGAGACTGCGGCATGTCCCAAACCATCACATAGAAGACAAAGAGCCAGTCTCTACCCCCCCCCGTCACCAGTACCAGTGAAGGAAGCTACCAGGCATTGGTGCTCAGAGGTGGGCCAAGCCCGTCCACAGGCTAGTCTGGGGTTAGGCAGAGGTCCCAGGGAACCATGGGTACCAGGGATGATCCTGGAGCAGACCCATGAGAGAGAAATGGGTGAGGACGCCCTGGGTACTTGCTTGGCACACAGAAGGCGCCCACTCAGGAATGCTGTCATAGCTATCACTCCAAGCTCCTCACACTCTCTGTTCAGGTTCCCCTGCAGCACTGTGTCTTCCCCAGATGACAAAGCGTGTGCTGGGTGTCCTTGTTGCTGCCCCTTGCTCTCCTTTCTGGTAAAGGCCACGTGAAGGTGGCGACGTGCTGTCCATGGCAGTCTACTGGGCAGGGTGGGTTTCTGTATTCATGGGAGGAGGTGGAGGAGGAGGAGAAACGAGGGCCTTGTCGGCCTCAGCTGCACCTCAAAGGTCGGAGGCCAGGTGGTAGACTCACCCTCTGGAGCCGTGTGAGCCCCAAATGAACTCTCTTCTGTAAGTTACCATTGTCACATCCGCAGAAAAGCAGCTATGACAGTTTTCCCATGTCAGTTAAGGAAATCAAGGCAACCTTCCACAGGAATGTCACGGGCCAGCCTGGTCTAGACAGTCTCTCACCTGGACTCCCTTCCTGGATGGCTCCAGGTTGGCTCAAGCTTACAAAAGTAAATAGCCTTTACCAATGCAAGTGATAGCCTTTACCAATGCAGGTGATAGCCTTTACCAATGCAAGTGATAGCCTTTACCAATGCAAGTGATAGCCTTTACCAATGCAAGTGATAGCCTTTACCAATGCAAGTGATAGCCTTTACCAATGCAGGTGATAGCCTTTACCAATGCAAGTGATAGCCTTTACCAATGCAGGTGATAGCCTTTACCAATGCAGGTGATAGCCTTTACCAATGCAGGTGATAGCCTTTACCAATGCAGGTGATAGCCTTTACCAATGCAGGTGATAGCCTTTACCAATGCAGGTGATAGCCTTTACCAATGCAGGTGATAGCCTTTACCAATGCAGGTGATAGCCTTTACCAATGCAGGTGATAGCCTTTACCAATGCAGGTGATAGCCTTTACCAATGCAGGTGATAGCCTTTACCAATGCAGGTGATAGCCTTTACCAATGCAGGTGATAGCCTTTACCAATGCAGGTGATAGCCTTTACCAATGCAGGTGATAGCCTTTACCAATGCAGGTGATAGCCTTTACCAATGCAAGTGATAGCCTTTACCAATGCAGGTGATAGCCTTTACCAATGCAAGTGATAGCCTTTACCAATGCAAGTGATAGCCTTTACCAATGCAAGTGATAGCCTTTACCAATGCAAGTGATGCAAGTGATAGCCTTTACCAATGCAAGTGATAGCCTTTACCAATGCAAGTGATAGCCTTTACCAATGCAAGTGATAGCCTTTACCAATGCAGGTGATAGCCTTTACCAATGCAGGTGATAGCCTTTACCAATGCAGGTGATAGCCTTTACCAATGCAAGTGATAGCCTTTACCAATGCAGGTGATAGCCTTTACCAATGCAAGTGATAGCCTTTACCAATGCAAGTGATAGCCTTTACCAATGCAGGTGATAGCTTTTACCAATGCAAGTGATAGCCTTTACCAATGCAAGTGATAGCTTTTACCAATGCAAGTGATAGCCTTTACCAATGCAAGTGATAGCCTTTACCAATGAGCCTGTTGCCACTTTTTGACTGTCGGGTTCATAGTGAGAAGCGATATTGCTGAATCATGTGTGTGATCTCTTTTTTTTTAATTTGGGGGTATATTAGTTATTCTTCTGTTACTGTGATAAAAAACAATAGCAACTTATAAAAGGAAGAGTTCATTTTGGCTTACAGTTCTAGAGAGATGAGTCCATCATGATGAAGGGGCTGTGGCAGCAGGTACAGGGATCTGAATGAGAGCGACCCCTATAGGCTCATGTGTTTGTGTGTTTGATCCCAGTTAGTGGAACTGTTTAGGAAGGATGAAGAGGTGTGGTCTTTCTGGAGGAAGTGTGCCACTGAGGGTGGGGTTTGAGGCTTCAAAATCCCACGCCAGGCTCAGTTCCTCCCCCTGCCCTTCCCTCTGCGTGCAACTTTCAGGTTAGATGTGAGCTCTCTGTAACTTTTCCAGCACTATACATGCCCTGCCATGATGATCACGGACTCACCCTCTGAAACTGTAAGCGAGCCCCAATTAAATGCTTTCTCTTAGAAATTGCCTTAGTCGTGGCGGTTGAACAGTAACTAGGACAGTGGGCATAACTGTAAGGGCAGGAAGCTGAGAGCTCACATCTTACACCTTGAACCACAAGACAGAAGCAGAGAGAGCCAGGCAGGAATAGTATGAGGACTTACACTCTCAAGCTCGCCCCCAGTGAGGACTTCCTCCAGCCAGCCCACACCTCCTAAGCCTCCCCAGACAGCAGCACCAACTGGATACCAGGCGTTTAAACACTACGTGCTGCTTATTCAGATCACCACGGGACAGGTCCCATCACTGTTCCTTTAGTGTTTTGTCACTCACTTCTCTGTGCCCACCTTGGATATGGATAGAGCATCGGCACATGAAAGCTGCGTCTCAGCTCCCAACCCAAGACAGCCCCCAGGGTCACAAGGCAAGGAGAACATTTAGTCCCTGACTCTTCTGGCACCAGCCGGGAGATCCAGCTGTCCCCATGGAGCACATGGCCTTCCTAAAGGTAAGTAGATTTAAGCCTCATAGATAGGCCACATTAGCTTCTGGCTTAGACTGCTTCCCTCCAGCGATAATCGGACGCATCATTTCCATAAAGACAAATTCAATAAGGCCCTCCGAGGTTCGCCATCTGCCTGTCAAAGATGAAGCTTTAGAAAGGAACAGGTCTTTGAGCCCAGGGGCCTCTGACATTCATACAGCAGGAGTGGCCTTGATCTGCACGCCCTGATCCAATTTCCCTGCTGCTGATCAAGTTAGGAGAGACTCAGCCTAAGGCACCAGGGAAAGGGCAGATTTTTAAAATGACCAGGGCGGAGGAGCTGCGCTGAGGCGGAGAGGAGGCGTGTGAACGTGGGTGCTGATGAGGACACGTTTCTGGGTAATGACCTGCCGGTGTCTGGAGGGATGGGATAATTTAGAAGGGCAGGCACTTGGATGTTGATGCCAAAGGCCCACTTACTGGAACAGGAGTCTTTGGATCACAGCTTTCAGCACTGGGGATGCCGAGGCCACCGGATGCTCACTGCTAAGGGTTCCTGGTCTGTTGCGGGGCCTGAGGAGGACGCCCCTCACAGAATCCACAGCACCCACAGCCTTGTCTGTGCAATTGTCCCCATGACCGGAAACATCTTTTGTTCTCCAGAAACCCTTGGAGTGGAAGGGTGTACCAGCTATTCTTCCCCCAAACTGGGCAGAGGCATCTTTATAGGCAGTGGGGAAATGGGATGTAGTGGTTTGAGTGACACTATTGGGAGGTGTGGCCTTTTTGGAGTAGGTGTGACCTTGTTGGAGGAAATGTGTCACCAGGGTGGACTTTGAGGTTTCAGATGTTCAAGCCAGGCTCAGTCTCTCTCTCTCTCTCTCTCTCTCTCTCTCTCTCTCTCTCTCTCTCTCTCTCTCTCTCTCTCTCTCTCTCTCTCTCTCTCTCTGCCTGCTGTCTGTGGTTCCAGTTGTAGAACTCTCAGCTCCTTCTCCGGCATCCTGTCTGCCTGTGTACACCATGCTTCCTGCCATGCTGACGACGGACTAAACCTCTGTTTGGTAAGCAAGCCTCCATTAAATGCTTTCCTTTTTAAGAGTTGCCATGGTCATGTTGACTCTTCAGAGCAATAGAAACCCTAATTAAGACACGAGGCAAGACAGACCTCAGACGGTGAGTAGCTCTGCACTTGGCTCGCCATAGACCACGCTTAGGGTGTGAGCCTTGTGTCTTATTTCCGGTGGTCTTGGCTGGTCTCCGGTGGCTGAGGAGATTCAATATTTTTTGTCAATTGCCAGGTGTCACCCAAACAACAGGTGCAGAATCCGGAGGATCCACCAGTGCTGTGCCGTGCCACTCTGGAGGAGGGCTGTCTTCGAGTGTCACCTTTGTGGGCACTAAGGATGTAACTCAGGGGTGGAACGCTTGACTTCACCATAGGAGGTACTGGGCTCAGCAGCCAGGAGCACTCAAGAAAGAGTTCAGCAGATCAGACCCCTGTACGATTCACACAGTAAGAGGGAGGCAGGAATCAGAGGAGGGAGTATCCTGGAAGATGTGGACTCGATGCAGAGTCATGGCAACCATGGGGTGGGTGAACAGTGGGTAGGGAGTGTGGAAGAGAGTGGCCATGGGGAGTAGTGGATAGTGCCCACATGGTGAGGTGAGCAGTGGTAACATAGTGGAGGATACGGGGGTCACAGGGTGGTATGGACAGTGGCCACGGACTAAGATGAGCAGCATCCGTGGGTGATGTGGACGGAGTTCACGGGGTGGAGTATGGAATGTAGGAGACAGCGGCCGTGTGTGGAGTGGACAGGGTATTCATCAGGTGGGGTGGACAGTGGCCGTCAGGTAGAGTAGCCTGTAGCTATTGGGTGGAGTGGACGCTGGGAGTGGAGTGGACAGTGGTCACGGCATAGAGAGAACAGTAGTCACCAGGTAGAGTGGAAAGTGGCCTTGGGATACGGTAGAGAGTGGACATTGGTGTGGATGGACACTGTCATGGAATGGATGGACACTGTCATGGGGTGCAGGGACACTGTCACAGGGTGGATGGACACTGTCATGGAGTGCAGGGACACTGTCATGGGGTGGACACTGCCATGGGGTGGACACTGTCATGGGGTGGATACTGTCATGGGGTGGACAATGTCATGGGGTGGATGGACACTGTCACGGGGTGCAGGGACACTGTCATGGGGTGGACATTGTCATGGGGTGAGGGACACTGTCATGGGGTGGACACTGTCGTGGGGTGGACACTGCCATGGGGTGGACACTGTCATGGGGTGGATGGACACTGTCACGGGGTGCAGGGACACTGTCATGGGGTGGACACTGTCATGGGGTGCAGGGACACTGTCATGGGGTGGACACTGTCATGGGGTGCAGGGACACTGTCATGGGGTGGACACTGTCGTGGGGTGGACATTGTCATGGGGTGCAGGGACACTGTCATGGGGTGGACACTGTCGTGGGGTGGGTGGACACTGTCACGGGGTACAGGGACACTGTCTCGGGGTGGACACTGTCATGGGGTGGACACTGTCGTGGGGTGGGTGGACACTGTCATGGGGTGCAGGGACACTGTCATGGGGTGGACACTGTCGTGGGGTGGGTGGACACTGTCACGGGGTACAGGGACACTGTCACGGGGTGGACATGGGGTGGAGTGTGCCGTCGTCACAGTGTGAGGTGGGCAGTGGTCCCGGCGTGAGTAGGTAAAGTGTTAGAGCCTCCCTGGGGCATTGCAGAGAGAGCAGTCAGGACCATTTAGCTTCTGCTTTTGGCTCAGCAGCTTTGCTTTCTGCTCCTGGCTGTTACCTGCAGCCTTTGTCCTCAAGGCTGAGACCCAGCGAGGCCACCATGGCAGGCCATTGACCAGCTAGCTTCTGACCTCAGGGAAAGAGAACAGCTTCAGGGGAAGGAGATCACCTCTCCACCATCCCACCTAGGCCATGCACAGCAGCCCCTGTGCACGTGCTGGGTAAGCCCTGCGTAGCTACACGTGCCTAGGATCACATTTAATTTGTAAGTTAAATACAGCAAGAGACTGATTGCAACTCACAGCGACTCAAACCATATTCTTAATGAAAGGCATTGCAGCTTATGTATATTTATTTCTCGAATCTTCCTTTGAATTTTCCTTTTGACCAGGTTGACCTCTGGGTTGCTAAGAAAAAGAAAAAATAAAATAAAGCCTCAGGTAAGGGGCTACATCTCTCTGGCTCCCCTTCGGAGTGCAGAAACAGAAGCCCCACTGGCAGACAGATAAATGGTGACTCTCAGCCGCAGAGCTGGGCACACTGCCCGCACGACCAAATGTGTGAGCTGAAACCACAAGGAAAGAGGCAGAAACGCCGGTGCCTGAGGAAGCAGCATTGATCAAATCAACAGAAGGAGACTCTAAAATAAGCATAATTACTATCCTTAAAGAGGTATGCGGTTATTGTATTCATGAAGCAAGAACGGGCTTTTACATAAAAGAACTAATTAGAGATCGTGGAGATTTAAAATAGATGGTCTGAAAAGCAGAGAGAGACATCTGAGGAGCAAATTAGTAAGCTGGAGGATCAGGCAGGTGCCGCCCGAGGAATTCAGTGCAAAGGGCAGAAGGGGAAAGGTGGGGGGCTTGGGCCAGCTCCAGAGGCCCCCCTCCAGTGCTGGTGGCAGACATTCCCGAGGGGAGGGTGACGAGGAAAGGATGGAGAGAATGGCCAGCTGTTAAACCACAGGACAACGCAGTCTTCAAAGCTGATGAGCTTATAACTGGGTAGAACATAGAGAACAGGCCCACAACAGACCAATGACAGGGCAAGGAAACTGGTATCCAGAGAGAGAAAGCTCAACACAGACCAAATGGGAGTGGGCCGGAGGATGGCATAGCTGGCCAAGCCAGCATGTGGACCAGAGTCTGACCCCAGCACCCACATTAAAAAAAAACAAACAAACAGCAGAGCACTACAGTGACTGTAATCTTAGCACTCGGAAGCGTAGTCAGGAGGCCCCCTTGGTCTCCTTGGCCAAGCCAGCCTCATTGATTTGATGGACTCTGGGCTCCGTGAGAGGCCCTGTCTCAAAACACAAGGTGAAGCTTGGAGCTGGAGAGATGGCTCGACAGTTAGAGCACTTGCTGCTCTCCCTGAGGACCCAGGCTGGGTTCACAGCATCCGTGTCCATTGGCTCAGAGCCGGCTGCAATTCCAGCTCCGGAGGATTAGACGCCTCTGGCCTCCTCAGGCCCCTGCACTAATATGCTCATACATGCTGACACATACACCTACACAGAATTAAAAATAATTTTTAAAATGCACCTTTAAGAAAAACCAAGGTGGAAAGTGAGTGAAGACCTCTAACACTGACCTTTGACCTTTGCACCCTCCTCCTCCTCACTATGTACATACACATGCCAGTAAATAAATAACTAGTTTGGGCACAGGAGACTCCCACCAGCTTCTTCCTGGTAACTCCTAAACCCATCTTTCTAGTTTAGGAATGGAACAGAAACCAGAATTAGTTAATTTACAATACCCTCCTTTCTGAAAGAGTTACTCCAGGGTGTGTTCTGATGAAACAAAACTCTAACACAAGAAAGATGAAGCCAAGGACAGAGAGAATGAGAAGGAGAGAAAAAACCCAGGGGAATACAGTGTCAAGCCTAAGGAATCTTGCAACTGCTGGAGGTGGAATCTGTTCAGTTTTCTTTGTTTTATGAAAGACTTTAAGTATAAGAAACATGCAGTGAACCATGTCACAATTTCTTTTTGTTCACCACCATCCAGAAAACACATATGTCCATTATCTGCATCACAAAGTCAAGCAAGCCTCATTTAGACTTCTTACATGCAGTCATTTTTCAAAGTCCCAGATTATTGGACTATGGAATTGGCAATAAAACACTAATTGCATTTAAATTTGTATGTATATATTTGTTTTTGTATTTATGTATTTGAGGACGGTGATTTCCATGGCTTATGTGTAGAGGTAGGAGGACAATTTATAGGATTTAATTTTATCCTTTTCATCAGGTGGGCCCTGGGTATTAAACTCGGGACATCAGGACCAGAGGCAAATGTCTTTAACTGCTGAGCCATCTCAACAGCCCGAAACATTAATCTTTAAAAAGTGTTTATCTTGTATCTGTCAGCTTGCTAAACTTGTAATTATCCCAACAAATCTTCAACACATTCACAAATTTGTCAAGTGGAATTTTCCACAGTCAGGAGTGGTCAGAGCCAGGCTTCTTCTGGGTTGATATTTGTGACTTTTCATTTCTGCCTCCGCCTTTTAGGTTCCGTGCCCGCCTCTGTCACGGGGAGGCTGTAGGATGAGGGCACACAGCTCAGCTTGTTTCCATGCTTACTTCCGCCTGGGTATCCTTTCACAGCTGGCCAGTTTGTATCACCAGAAAGTGTCAACCTTGACTAACTGCTTCCTCAGCATCCTTGAAGACCGGATGAAGGACTCTGGTTTCTGGCCCTGGTTCCCAAGCAGCTGGAATTCAAGATCCCTTCACCTTCCTAAAAAAAATCACTGAAGACCCTCAGAATAATTGCAAAGACTACTGTAAAGTCTTGTTTACAGTTGAAGAAAAGGCATATAAATAAAAAGAATGGCCACTCTCTGCACAGGGCTGGCATTGACATGTTATAAAGTTAACAGTCATAGAAAAGTCTAGAACACATGAGGATCCCTGAAATGGATGCACTTTGCAATCAAGGGTGCATCAGAGCTCTCTTAAATCCATTTTCTTCCTTTTCTAGTAGTAAATACAGTAATGACTTGTCTTAAAAGAGACAATGATTCAATATGCACCAATATAGCATTAGTCTGTTGGCTTTTCTGTGCCAGGCCTCCAAGAAGGATCTGTGTATTATTAGCCCACTTTAGAGATGAAGGAGCTGGGGCACAGATAGGTCAATTAACTTGTAAAAGATCACACGATGAGGGAGAGACAGAGAACCCAGGCTAGCTCCTTTGAGCCTCTGCCACTTGGGTCCCCCTTGCCAGTTTCTTCCACCTAATCTAGAATTGAACCTAATCTTAATTAAGTCCACAAAGGACAAAACCTCACAGATTGGTTTATGAAAACTCATTCAGCCTTAGCTAAGGGGAAATGACAGTAAAATAAAAGTTCTTTCATGCGGGAATGTCAGCCTTCTAAGTGACACCACCCTGCAGAGCTGAGATAATGGCATCTGTCATACGTCCCTCGAGTATGACAGCATATGGTCCAAGAACGGACCCCTTCTTGTATGGTAGGGAAGAATGCAGCCAGCTGCTATGCATGGAAGGCACAGGAGAAAGGTTAAATTTCTAGTTTATATTCAGCTCTAAAGATCTTGGATGAGTTGAATACTACCAGGCCAGCAAGACGACTCAGCAGCTAAGGGCTGCCCAGCCTGCTGAACTGAGTTCCATCCTGGAACCCACATGATGGAAGGAAAGAACCAACTTCCAAGAGTTGTCCCCGACCTCCACACATGAGCCTTGTATGTATACAAGATAAACAAACAGATGTGACTTAAGAATTTCTAGAAAAAAGATAAATATAAAAATTCCACAAAGACTGTCAGACATGCAGCCATAGCTTTCCTGGACCAACAGGAGGAAGAGGCTGTGACGAACCATGCCATCCCTAACAGGAAAGCTCCGAATTCAGAATGTATGAACAGCCTGTGGGGTCAAGATGGAGCTAAGACACAGAGTGGGAACCCTGGCCAGCAAAGGTGTGACAAAGACCCCCAGCTTCACTAGCTGCCAGGTGACGGAGGTTAGGAGCTGTGCAACAGGCAGGGTCCAAACAAGGTGTGGAGGGATGGTCCCACCCAAGGCTAGGAGGGCGGACATCTCTCTGGCGGAGAAGGCCGGTCGCTCAGCCCAGGCTGGTCAGGAGACCTTAATGAGAGGTTCCTGCGACACGGGCCAGGCAGCAAACGGCACAGGGGAGCAACAACATCATTTGCCACTTCTGGGGGGAAGGAAGAGAGTGGGGCCTCACCAGAAACACCAATAATGGAGGTGATGGCTGTGGCTTGGGGGACTGCTGAGTTCCTTCCCTGGCAAGAACAAACAGTCAAACAGATACCAGGGAAGACAGACAGACAAGCAGCAGAGAAAAGAAAGAAAAGTGACGACTTGTTCATTCAGGTTGTGGATTCACTGAGGCTGGGTGCTGGCTTCGGTGTTTTATAAGGCCCCTGGGCCTCCCCTCCCCCTGTCGGTCCTGTCTAGTTACCCACCCCTGGGCATCCTGCTATTTCTTCTCGCAGAGTTTTCTCAGGCGCGGGGAGAGCCACCGTCAGGAAGCCTGCCTTAGCTTTCTCCACTTACCTGTTTTTAACCATATTGCATATTGGAAGAGGGGGAGGAACAGGTGGGGTCCTACTAGGAGGTTGTGAGAACCTCCTGCCCCTCTTTTCCTCCCTCATATGTCATACCTACAGGGAGATGGATGTCACAGCAGCCTCAGTGAAGCCCATAGTTCACCTAGACAAAAGTGATCATTTTCACTCTATTATCTGGGTGGCCCACAGATGCCTTTCTGGGGGACTCACTCCTAAGGATCCATAAGCCAAGCCCTGTAAGGAAGCTGAGTGGGGTTCTCAGTGAATAGTTCTGAAGAGAAATGGAAACTCAGTCCAAGTAAGCCATCTTGTCCTGAACTCCCAAGACCACGCCCAGGTGGGTCCTATTTACAAAGGCCCGAGGCCAGCAGACAGACTGCCCAGCAGCAATGGGACATGCAAGCCACCGTGCAGTTGATTCCAGTGTCACATCTTCCTCAACCCTGTCACCACAACACAGTAAAAGCAAATACAGGAGAGACTGGGTAGGTGTGGAGAAAGATGCCGTCCTGGATGGGAGGGCAGGGCCAGAGCAGGAAGGGCTGACAGAGGCTCACTCCTGGACCAGACCCACCCTTCTGGAAGGTGCTGACACCAGGTCAGTGTGGAGGAAAGGCCAGGCTAGGGCTGGGAATTTCTTATGGATTTTCTTGGGGTGGGGAAGAGGAAGCAGCAAATCTACATCTGGGCCAGTGTTCTGTATGCTGGTGCTCCTAAGATCTGCATGCAGGTGCTTCTGGGCTCTGCATGCTGGTACTCCAGGATTCTGCATGCAGGTGCTTCTGGGCTCTGCATGCTGGTGCTCCTGGGCTCTGCATGCTGGTGCTCCTGGGCTCTCCATGCTGATTCTCCAGGGCTCTGCATGCTGGTGCTCCCTGGCTCTGCATGCTGGTGCTCCTGGGCTCTGCATGCCGGTGCTCCCTGGCTCTGCATGCTGGTGCTCCAGGGTTTTGCTGTTTGCAGCTCCCCACCCCCAGCCTTCCAGGAACTAGAGCATTGCCAAGGGAAAGAATGCAAAGGCTTCTTCGGCCCTGCAGAGAAGGGACAGCCCCTAGGGGTTTGGAGTCCATGAGATGGGTAGTGATGAAGCCAGGGGCAGAGAACGGCAGCCTGAGCAGTTTTGAGCCTTAGTGAAGAAGCCAGGGGCAGAGAAGGGCAGCCTGAGCAGTTTTGAGCCTTCTACCCTCCTACTCTTATAAGAGCCACCGAGCCTGTCTGCCTCGGGTCCTCTCTTGCTCCGCCCCATCCACCGCTTCACTCAGCGTGAGGCCACGGGATTGAGGTTCAGGACCATCACTGGCAGCAGGAAACAGATCCCAGAAGGGAAAGCAGGGGTGCCTGCGGCCCTGGCTATGTCTGGCTATGTTAGCTTAGTCTGCGAAGCACCTGTGCTGGTTAAGCCCAATGGAGGCAGCAAGCCTGAGGGTCATCCCACCCCCAACTAGAAAACTGAGGCTTGTAGTTCCATGTTGCTTGTGGGGGAAGCTGAGGTCCAAAATAGACCCAATTGAAGAGGCCCTAGTGAGAAAGGGGTGGGCTGGGGTCCCCACTCTTTACCCCTGCAAGTCTGAATCACCCAAAACCCCACTCAGGGCAGGAGGGGCCTCATCCTGCAGCTACCTGCAGACTCTCCCTGACTGCAGGCCTAGAAGACAAGGGATCCTGAGAGAGCAAGACAGACTGCCCTGCTCAGTCTGCTTCTCAGCACCCAACCGTCTATGTGCACATAGCAGAGATTGAATGAACGAGCGAGCCAGTCTGAGTTGGCCCCTGGCCTTCAGACATCCCGCTCAAATAGAGTTAAGCCAACGAGTGCAGAAAAGGCAGCTTTAGATAGTGTGGTGTGGGGGATGGGGAGGTGCCTGGGCGGATAAAGTGACTGCTGGACAAACAGGAGGACTTGAGTTGGAACTCCAGCTACCGCACACGAGCCAGGCACATTTGTGACAGTGCACATTTGTACTCCCAGCCCTGAACAAGCGGAGCCAGGTAGATCCGTCAGTGGGCACTGCCAGGCTGCCTGGTATGCGACCTCTATGCCCAGCCAGTCACCTGTCCCTTGCCAATCCCACATGAAATATCTCCATGGCTGGTGGCCTCTGAATGGCCAAGGGAAGATCTGCTGCTTGCCACTGTTTGTCTGGGTGTCTAAAATCTAGACCCAACCGTGCATGTTGGAGACGTGTGCTCACGACCCCGCAGAGCTTCGGGCCAATGCTTTCTCCTGTGAGGGTTTACCATCCACTCAGCCAACGGCCACAGAGGTGGTGCTGCCAGCAGAACGAAGAGGCAGAGTGCTGTCCTCTGCCACCCAGGGTAGAGGCTGGAAACGACATCCCAGGAAGCACTGGGGTGTGATAAGGCTCTCAGACACTGGGGTAGAGAAGGGGGCTGGGACATCATCTGCCCTCGGGCTTTATGGTGGCTCACTAGGGGCCTGCTGCCCCAGGCCACCTGGATGGGGGGACTGAGACATCCCCTAAAGCCAGGGTTTAGCAATTCACACCTGCACCCTTTCATCCCATAGCCCGGGACAGTCGTGGGATGCGGGGTTCTCTCCTGCCTCCATCGCTCATGCTTCGGCTGCCATGCTTCTTTCTGCTCCCCAGCCCCATCTCACCGCCCCCCTCCTCCTTACCTCCTCCCCCACATGCCGCCCCCTCTCCCGCCTCCGCCTCCTCCCCCACATGCTGCCTCTGTCACCCCAATCCCAGGTTGTCAGCAGGTGTCAGGCTGGTGGTGGCAATCAACTCTGACAGGAGAACAGGGAACAAGTCCAAGTTTTCATTCTCTGTGCCCAAGAGGTGTCCTGGGTCTGGGTGTGCGGTGGGGGGCAGGTCTTGGACGGGCAAAGCTACCTGTGGGTGCTCTGCGTCGAGACTCCATCCCAAGAGAAAGACCCCACCTTCCCCCGGAGAAAGGGCTCCAGTCTGTCTTGTCACTCACCATACATCTGCATGTGTCAATCACAGAAGGGGTTCTGTGTCAGGCTTTTATTAAACCCCGGTGTGCACCCCCTCACCAAGCAGCGCTAACAGAAGCAGGAAAGAACAGGGAGGGCGCTTTTACCTTGGGGTTCGCATAATTCAGTGAATCAGTCTCTCGTTTTTATGGCTTTTTGAACAATCTTAATACCCTAAGGTTGCCAGTTTGAGCTCAAGACATCACCAGCAAGGGCTTCAGAGACCAGTGGGCCTGGGTATTGTCACAGGTTCCTTGCTGGGAGGTTGTCGAAGCAAAGACCAGTTCTCCGTTCACCACTGCCAACATATTTCAGAGATATAGCAGCATAGGGGAGATGCCCAGCTGTTGAAAAGCACTTCCCCACGTGAAAGACCTCACTCTGAGGCATTGCTCAGCTCTGAGCTTCCAGAATATAAAGACTCTTTCTTTGGTCTCCCCACATCCAGAGTGTGTGGTGAATGAATGGATGAATGAATGAATGAGATTTGAGTGCTCTGGTCTGGATTGCTGGAGCCACTTGCCTGGGGGAAATGAAGGACTGATTAGGACCCTTCTGGCTAAGGCTTTCCTGGAGTCAGACATCCCAAGAACCAGTGAAGTTCCCAGAACAATAAACCCCCTGATTCTGGCTCCCCTGCCACAACCGCATCGAGATTTTCTAGCCTGTGACTCACGCGAGGAACCCCAAGAGACCCAGGACTGATCCCTGTGCACTGCCTCCTCGTCTATCATCCTCCATGATCTCTCAAGAATGAGAGCATTGAACTCACTGTCAAAATGTTTTAGGATGTGGCAGTCATTAAAAGCCACCGCAAGTGCTTTTTCCAAAGGGATGAGGCTCCGGTTGGGAACTACAGCAAGAGACACACCCCCATCCCCGTGGGCTACGCACCCCTGTGTGCCCCCATCCCTGTGGGCTATGCACCCCTGTGTGCACCCACCCGCTCACAGCCTCCACTCTCTTACACACTCGTCTAGCCCCCTAGCTCTCCCGAACACTTTAATTGTCCTGGCCGCGCCTCGGAGCTGCCCAGCCTAACAGGCCTTGATCTGAGATGTGAGGGCTGACTCTGCCTCACAGCACAAAATAATCACCGTTGTCTGAGTCTCCGATTAATTTTAATTCATTCGTCGTCTGGATGGGCTTGACCTGTGCAGATCACTTGGAGTTGGGTAGACGCGTGTTTCTGCCACCTGTCATGTTCAATCAGCTTCTGAGGCCCTCATGACCGCAGCCCGAGAGAGCGAGGCGATGCTCAGCAATAGGAATTTTATCCCTGTCAACCAACCAGCACCACCCTTCCCAACATCTCCCAGGTGTCCAGGACAGAAAGGATCCCCCGCCAGCCTTCACTATGATGTTTCTGGAGTCTCAAGCTCCCTCCTTCCAAGGGTTCCCTGAAAGAGCCTTGGGAATTGTTTCTGGCTCTGACTCTGCAGGTCCTGGCAGAATTCTCCTTTCTCCAGGAATGTTTTGTTCCTTCCACGCTGCAGAATGGCGCTCCCAGACACGAGCAGAAGCTGGGTGCGTGCCCTTCAAGCCTGAGGACCCAGTGCTCACTGCACAACACGTAGGTGACTGCATTGATTACTTTTTTCTCTTCTCTTTTGCTGCTGTGACAAGACACCTGACAAAAGCCACATACAGATGGGAGTTCTGGTCACACTGCATCAATGTCCAGGAAGTAGAGAAGGGTGAATGCCTGTGCTCAGCTCATTTCCCCCTTTTATTCAACCCGGACTCCCACCCAGGATGGTATTCGCACACCCAGAGTGTGTTTTCCAATCACAGTCAACCCAGTCTATAAACTCTTCCACAGACACACATAGAAGTTTGTCTCTTTGGTGACTCTGGACTCTGTCATATTGAAGGTATTAACCCACAGTGATTGGAGGTAGCTAAGTATGACCGGGTGCTCATAGTCTCCTATAGGCACTAGTAATTCCCCCCACACACACCCTGCCAGAGAGTGCATCCTGAGCTTGGATATTTGCAGAGCACTGGACAGAAATGTTTGGTGTCCCTGCCTCTGATGCTGCCCTGTCCTGAAGTTGCTCATCTATCAGCCCACTTGAAGGTTCTATTTCTGTAGCATAAGAGGCTGCTCTTACTGAGGCCACATTCACCCAGACTGGAAAGCAAGCCTTGCAAACTGCCCCACATGTTGCTGCGTGTTGGACAGTTTTCAACACCTCCACCATCTGTTGGGTTTGGGTTGCATCCACTAAACTGTATGTTGTGGAAAGATGCCTAGGACAGGACACAAGTTGCCACGCAACTGGAAAGCCTGCCGTAGTGGAATGGCTCCCATCCTCCTGTGCCATAGCTGCTGCTGCCCAGTCTGAAGAACTGAACGGGGACAGACTTCTTTTTTGTGTGTGCCAGAACTTGCTGTTTCAGGAAACTCAATGGTACCTTGTTTCTATGAAGTCAGCTCAGAGGCTTATCCGTATTCCTCCCTTTTGTAATTTTAGAAATGAGTTTAAAAATAGAACCAAGGCTTTCATACACAAAAAGCAAGTTAAGTGGTGACCATTATGCCACAATCCAAATGGAATCTGCTCTGTGCCTTTCTCCATTGGCTGTGTGTCTCTGGGAGAGTCACTTAACTCCTCTGTTAACATACCAAAGTGCGGTAACAAAGACTGCAGGGATGACTCTGCAGATAATGGCAGGCACTTGTGCAAGCATGAGGATCTGAGTGCTGCTTCCCACTAAAGGCTGGGTGTGGCAGCATGTGCCTGCAACCCCAGCTTCAGGGGAACACAGGGATGGGAAGACCCTGTGTACTCACTGGCCAGTCATTCTAGTTGAAAAGGCAATTCCAGATTCAATGAGAGACTGTGTCTCAAAAAATAAGGAGAGTGATAGAGGAAGACAGCCATTGTTGACCTCTGACCTCTGCATGCAAGGACACACTAGTACACATGTATACACACACACACACATACACACACACACACACACACACACACACAGTGTCTACTGTACCCTCTGTGAGTCATTGGGTTTAAATGAAATGGTCACACTATCACAAGTACTGGGAATGCACCTCTGCTACACACAGGAAAAAGTAGAGCCAGAGAGCCAAACCACTTTCTGGGTGCTTGGCTGCTCAGACCATGGCTCCTCCCACACTCACTGGGGGAGGGGATGCGGACATGGGAAGAAGTGGACGTGTGGGTGAACTGGTGAGCAAAGGCAGGGCTCGATGCCGAGGCTCCTTTTGAAATTCTTGGCACACATTTGACAGCATCTAAGAATCTGAGACAATCACCAAAAGCCACGAAGTCTTGATTGAGACAGTGAAAAAAAAAAAAACGGTTGCAGGAGTTGATTGGCTGGTTGGTCCGTGCTTTCTTCTTGGCACTCTCCAGGGCTCTCTGCCCTCCCCTTATACAGATCATCTCTGTGGAGTCCATCGTCCTGTCTCTGAGTGGGAATGATGTTGAGGAGTGTGGGAGATCTGCGAAGAGGCTGAGGAGCCCCAAGCTCTGCTCTGCTGCCAAGGACCCTGTCATTCCTTCTCACCTACAAAACGGGGTCTGGTTGGGTCTCCCTGGCTATCGCTGAGCTGGTTACGTGAGACAATGTATGCAAGTGTTTTTAGCATTGCATCTGGACTACACTGAGCACATAACCGAGTGGTGTTTATCGTGAGATAAGTGCCTGCTGCAGGCAGCCTCTGAGTACAGTTAATTAATGAATCAAACAGAGCCACCAGTTCCTGGAGAAATGAGGCAGGTGACAATTAATTACCCATCTTGCAAGGGGTGGAGATGCTTAAAGGCAGGGGCCAGCTCTCCCTGGTAGTTAAGTGGGGTGAAGGATGTTCCCAGTGTGTTATAAGGAAACTCTCAAGCACCAAGAATCTGAGCATCACTGGGGAGCTCAGTGAGGACCCTTAGGAAGGACCCAGCAGGGACGTTGATGCAGGCAGGAATGCCTTCAGGTGTCTGACTGAAGCACGCGCTTCCTTGGCCCTGTGGCATGTCTTGGAACGAGTTGCTGGTCCTTCTATGCCCAGCTAGTGGGCAAAGGGGAAGGAGACCCCACCAGCTCACTGGCCTCTCAGGATGGGCTGATGTAGGCACTTCCCACCAGGGCAGTGCCTGTTACAGAGCACCAGGACTATCCCAGCACAATCAAGCACTCACAGAGCACTCCTAGCAATCCAGGAAGGTTTCTCGGAGTGTCGTGTGTTCTGACTCAAAGCCTCATTCAATATGTACTCCCTCAGGCTGAGTTTTCAGCCACAGTCCACTCATGAACATCTTCAGGGATCGGGTTTGTCTCGGGGCCATATTTCTCAAGAGGAAAGGTCAGAAAGTTCTTCATGTCCAAAGCAAATCTGCCATGCCTTATCTTCCAACTACTGCACTTGAGGGTAAGGTAGCAAAGATTTGCTTCCTCCCCAGTGGCTGGAAGCCTGAGTCAGCCGCAGGCCCCAGTCACCAACCAGCCCAGTACAGAGACTATGCACTGCCCTCCAGTGCTACACGAGACTGCCCCAGAGAATGGAAACAAGTAAGAGCAAAGGTGAGCATTTATCAAGCACTTAAGGTGTGCTATGCCTGCGGACATCTTTGCCTTTCATTTTCAGAACAGCTTTAAAGGCCCTGCTGTCAGTCACCCCAGAAACAAGGACCAGGGATCTACTCCAAGGTTGCGCTGTCCACAGCCAGGCAAATCCCATCGCCACCGAGACCAAACATCAGGGAGACAGAAACAAACTGGTGGAGATCAGAGGGAATCCCGCAGGGCTTCCACGGAGGTGTGGGCCCCCAGACCTTGCATATGGGTGCCTCCACGGGGGACCGCGAGTGAGCGTCAGCACCAGGGACAGCTCCTCGGCTGCTCCCCCGCAGCCGTGGCCGACGGCGCGCGCGGGGCCCGCAGCGCGCACTCCCCAGCAGGCTGGCGCGCGCGCCCTCCCCTCTAGCGCGCGCCCCGCGCCCGGGACTGGACTGGAGTCGCGTGCAGCTCTCGGGGAGGCAGCTGGGCGTCCAGAGCCGCGGCCGCAGCGCGCAGTTGGCAGGGTCTCTCGCCTGGCCACGCACTTGCCTCCCCTGGGGCCTCCAGGAGCCTCTCGGCGCTCTCCTTGCCAGTCTGGCCTCAGCAGGCGCCACCAACAGTGGCCTGGGCTGCATTTGCTGCTACTCGCTGTGCCCGGGACAGAGGGACGCCCGCCCTGTCACGTGTGTCCAAGTCCTTCGCCAGCCGCCAGCCGGGGCAGCGTGGTTCCCATGGTTCAAGGTAAGGGCCGAGCGGTTGCGCAGGTCATGGTGTGAGAGCAGGCGATGCAGTCTGGGGAGCCCGTGCTCTTCACCCACCCATCTGGAGTACTCACTGCAGCCTGCCCTGGCCACCTTGCATCAGGTGCCTGTACAGCATAACCCATCCCACTGCGACCCACCCTCCAAGTGCCCTGAGTGGCAGTGTGGTCCTAGCCAAGAGGCAAAGGAACTCACTGACAGAAGAGAGGCTTTATTTCCCTCCAAAGGTGGCCTGCCTGGGGGAAGAGGTATGGGGAGAGAAAGTTTGTCCGAGGGAGACGGGAAACCTGGCCCCATTCATCCTTTGCTGCCTGGAATTGAGATGTTTGGTTTCCTGTGGTGAGACCTGCTTCCCACCAGGTTGGTGCTGCATGCTTGACCCGGGCTACTGCTGACATCCGTTCTGTCCAGCCCCTGTGTGAAAGGGTTCGGGCCCCTTTTGACAGATGAGGAAACTGAGGCTTAGAGAAGTTTGGCTTCTTGTCCAAGGTCACAGTTAACAGGTGGTGGAGCCTCTGTCACGGCTTTCCCATGTTGCTGGAAACCTCGTCTTAAAAATAAGGACAGGAGGGGCACAGCAGGCAGGCAGGTGTGTTTTTCCATCGGGAAATGACATGCCCCAAACACCGAAACTCCAAATGCGGGCTCACATCCATCCTCATGGCTCCAGTCTCTCACCATACTCAATACCCTGCCCTCCTCAGGCCGGGGTCTCAGCTGATATGACTCTGGGGCAAGAAACCCCGGGGGGACAAGTCTCCAGAACTTTCTACAGGCGCCATCATGTTCCCTTGCCACTTCTTGGGGGAGCTAAAGGTCTGCAGGAGAGCATCAGGCTGCTCCCCTGTGGTCCCTCCTTCCTATGCTGGTCAGATTCTTGGCAGGCTTCCAGAGACCGTATCCACCTCCTAGAAGTTTGTGGCTGCAGAAAAGCACAGAGGCCCATTGTCCCACCTTCCCCTTCTTGAGATAGATAGTCTTCATGCCAAGACTCTCCAGACTTGACACCTCTGGCCAGTTGAAGGTGGCTGAAACCCTCCATGGACACATGGGCTACAGGCTTGCTGGGTGCGCTCAACTTTGTGTGACTTTGAGTTCTTCCCATTCTGAGACCAGGGGCTCACTTCCCCCTTCCCCTTCCCCTCTCTCTCTCCCCCACTCTTTGGTAGTCATTTGTGGTACATTTGCCTCGTGCTGTAGAGGAGGCAGACAGAGTGGTCTTAGACCCCATCACCTGAACTCCAGTGGGGCTGCTTGGTGTTGTCCCACTTGTAAAACCTGGAAAGTGTAGAGTTTAGAGGTGGCACAGCTCCCAAACTGGGTGTCTGGAATACCTGTTGGGAGCGGGGGGGGGGGAGGGGGCTGGAGAACATTGCTGGCTCTCTGGGACCAGCTAATACCACGAGATGTGGGAGCCCAAAATATGCTGTGACTTCTCCCTTCACTTTCACCTCTCCCGAAAGTGAGAGAGGTCCCCAGAGCTCCAGGCCTCTGCCGTGCCAGCACAGACAGCCAGCATGAACAAAGAACTTACAGAGAGTATGGGCACAGATGGGGGAGTCAAGACTTTGCCTAGCTCTGCCCATCTTCCTGGGTGACCTTGGGCTAGCCCCTGTTCCTTTAGAGACCTCAGATGGATTCTATGGTCTCACGCCTCCTGGGGACCCTCTCAGCCCTCCCCGTTCCTGCCCATCCCATCCCCTTCTCAAGTCATCGCCAAGGTTTTGCACGTTGGGGCTGGATCTCCGTGCCTAAGCCTGGTGCTGGTTCTGAGTGAGGCTTCACTGCCAGGAGACCTGTTCCTGCAGATCATCCAGCAACCCAATGAGGGATGATGATAGTGCTCAACCAGAAATGTGTCACCACCTCGTAGTCGGTTATATGGGACTCTAAATTCTCAGGGGCTGGGGGAGAAGGCAGACTGCTCAGATTTTCCACTCTGCTCCCGCCCTGCCAGCACTGCCCTGCTCCTCTTCAAGCCCTGACCTAGATGGCAGGGAAATGGTGATTTGCATGGTGGGAATGTGGATTCAAGACCCAGGGCTTGGGCAATTCATGCAGCAATTCATATAAACATAGGGTGCTTCTGCTTCCCTGTGGGCATCCGGTTGCACCCGCGCAGGCATGACCTGAAGCGTGGTGAGGATGGGGTGGAATGGGAAGGGGCCTCCTGCCTACCTCGCTGCTGCCCTTGCTGTGACTTCCCTGCAGTGGATCCACTCCAGAGGGGCTTCATCCAGGCTGGAGCCGTAGTGCCTGCCAGCTCCCCCCCCCTCCTCCCAAAGCTTTCCATTCCCCCAGGAACTGGGCTCAGGGAAGAGGCTTAAGTTGTTGAAGCCACTCCTGCCCCAATCTCCCTGACTGGGAACTGCCCTGAAAGTCCTGAGAAGGGATGAGCCCTGCCATCCCAAGGCACAGGGAGGTTGTGGCCAAGAACCCTTAACTCATGGGATGATGGAGTGCAGAGCCTGGCATATGGATTCCTGATTTACACTTCTAAGATATGACACAGGGTCTCTGACCCTAATTTCCAGGGCTCCTATATGGGAGGGGGGTGGAGATGGCCTGGGAGCCAGATCCAGGCTGTAAGCTATGCTCTGTGAGCTATATGGAAGCTTTGAGTGGGTCTTAGGCAGAAGTCTAAACCTCGATGGATCATGGACAGGCCTGGCCTTGACACTGTGGCAGCAGTATAGAGCCTGACTGGAGAGGAAAGGCAAGAGGCAAGGGGACTCAGAAGAGGCCACCATGTCTACCTGGACCAGGACAGCCAGCACTAAGCAGATGTCAGCCACATGGGGTGCTGGAGTGGGTTGGAGTAGTGGGTAATATTGCCCAGAACGGAAGAAACATCACCCAGACTGGCCTACCCTGGAGTCTGGGATGAGCTGTGAGAGTGACGAGGAGGCAGCCCTTGTGCACCGAGAGTAGGGCTCTCTCTTCAGCACCTGATTGCAATTCCACCCCAGTGGGATGCTACTACCCGTCTTCTGGGTCCTCCCATCCAAAGGGGCATCTTCGGGAAAGGCTCTAGCCAGACTGAGCCAGTCGCCTGTGCTTATGTCCAACTGCTCCAGTAGTAAGGCTGAGGAGATGGCTCAGTTGGTAACGTGCTTGCCGTGTAAGCAGGAGGACATGAGTTTGATCTCTAGGACCCATGAGAGAGAGTCAGAAAAGCCAGGTGTGGGGGGTGCATGCTTGTAGTCCTGGAACTTGGGAGGCGGAGACAGGCAGATGCCAGGGGTTTGCTGACCACGCTAGCCTATTTGGAAAAGTTCCTTGCTAGTAAAAGACCTTGTCTCCAAAACAATGTGGGCAGAGCTCAAGGAATGACACCAAATGCTGTACACACACACACACACACACACACACACACACGCACACACACACACACACACGCACGCACGCACGCACATGCACGCTCATGATTCTAAAACCGCTTCTCCTGTAGTGAGTTGGTTGGGAGGAGGGTTGCACAGCTGTCTGGGAGTCAGGAGAGGATTAGATAGCAACCTGAGCAGTGGCTCGGGAACAAGCCAGGCTTCTAGGGCTGCAGTCACCTCCCATGGCTGCTATGGATGGCAGGATGACACAGCCTTAGGAACCACCAGAACACTGTTCATGTCTAAACGGTCCCTAGAATCTTTATTCACCTTGAATGAGGGCCCAGCTTCCTAGAAGAGTCTGCACACTGCTGCGAAACTCCCGTGGTACTCTGTTCCTGGCCAAACCCAAAGATGGCCTCAGAGCAGACAAGGGATGCCCTTGTCAAACCAGCAAACCCCACAATGAGCAAAGCCATCACCACCTGTGGCTCAACTCTTACAACCAGGCTTCCTGCGGGCTACCCAGTGGCAAAGCTGGTCCTTGGGGATTCCCAGGTTGCTCTGCCCACTGGCTGGGCCCACATCCAGTTAAAAGCCTCTGCCTTTTGCGGTTACTTGCTTATGGCCTAGGGACCATCAGCCAACATCTCTGGACCTGGGTTCCCTGACTCCCTGTCCCTGGGTTAGGAAACTCTCCTGCCAGCCACCATAACAGGAATGGGTCTCTGCTTGCACAAAGCAACGATGGGTGGTTTCCTCTCTTTTATGCTATGCCTTGTGTGGCTTGCCTAATATATATTCATTTTTATAATATATTCAAATATTTTTATTAAAAGAAATGTGTGTTTGCTGCAAAAGGAAAATCAATCCAGCTTTTCTTGGTTTACTGTGTACAAACTAAAAGCCCCCAACTCCTTGGCTGAGGTCCACATGCTCCTCTGCAGCCACCCGGACCTCAGTGTCCCTGCTCATGAGTGTCCCTCCCTTGTCCTTTGACATAACTCCTGCCCCCGTGTTGGGGACGGGTGTCAAGGCTTCATCTTCTGCACAAAGCCCAAGCCCCAGTCTGATTTGCAGGGCACGGCTGTTGACTCACAGATTTACCTAGTTGGTTTGGCAACAGGCCTGTGTGCCGTCCACTGGTTCTCTCTGTTGCAGAGTTGACTGGGGTGTAAGCCTTGAGTGGAAGGCCCTAGAGGCTGGCCGGGGGAGGGGAGAGTGGGAGGAGGCATGTGAACAGGATTAAACTGCAGTGTGGGAAGGTTCTGTGTGGATGGCAGCATGAGGCCTAGAGGCAAGAACTCCAGATTCTATGGAAATCACCTCAGGCTGGAGCAGCCAAGGAAGGCGTCCTGGGTTAGTCAGAGCTGAGCCCCCACTGGGTAGGTATATAGTCAAGGGAGCAGGTATTGCACACAGGCCAGACACTGTACCATCACTGAACACAAGGGAGGCCATCTGGAGATGCCAGCTGACAATCAGTGGGCTCTAGAAATGCCCCCTGGTTTTTCTTTGAGGGAAAGAAAGCACCAGAAAGGGCTAGACCCAGGTGCCTCATGTGCCTTGGTTCCTAAGGCCGGCTTAGCCAACCTCTCCTTGACCCTGGCCAAAGGACGCTCTATTGCAGGCTCCCCCAGTCAGTTAACTGGCTGCT